ATCTGCCACTCCCAAACCCCCTCTCTTTTGCCACACACATATTCGCCCAACTAACCCATGCAATTTTCTTCTCCAAATCAACACCCCCTCAAAAAATATGCTGTTGAATTTTAATCAACTCCAGAGGAACACCTTTAAGAATCTTAAATAAAGACGAGTAAAAAATAGGAAGAGCAAAAAGTATCGAGTTGATTAAGGTGATCCGACCTCTAAAGGACAGCAAAGGGCTCTTCCAAGTGGCAAGCTTAACTTTAAATCGGTCCAACATAGAATCTCAAAATCTTTCCTCCCTGAACTCCCTCCAACTGGTAAATTGAGGTAAATAAAGGGCTCTTTACCAATCTCACAACACAAAATTTTAGCTGCACCCCTTAACCACCCTTCTGACACATTTAATCCATACTGATAACTTTTACGAAAATTTATTCATAACCTAAAAATCAATTCATATCAATGCAAAATTGCCTTCACTACTCTTAAGGTCATTCAATCTAAATCCATCTTATTCAACCTGTTTACCAAGTCTAATTGTAGGGAAATAAAGTGCACATTGAATTTGAATGATGTTCAATACAAATTCTTTAGACATTATTCTAAATCAAAAACTAGACTATCAGATTCATATTTCTGCATCACTACATCTTAAGATAACCAAATGCACGTAAACTCAGCAGCTCACTTTTGAGTCTATGATAAGCTCTTTCTAATGACCAAAGTCACCATCCATTTTTATATATCACTCTTGCAAACAAACCATGTCTGATAAAAAATTTAAATCAGACGCTGCCATCTTAAATTTAAAAAACTAGTAATCAAGTTCTATATTACATTTTACCTATTCAAAAACTTCACACACATACAAATTCAACATTTTATGTTAGTTTGGTTAAGATATTGTCTGGTTAACTAAAAGGAGTTTAATCAATCTAGACTTGTCTGCAATCACAATTAGTTTAGTTTTGTCTATAAATGCATCACAAACTTCCAATTGGTTAATATTGAAAACAAATTTGATCATTAAGCACCTTTGTTTAAGAAGTACATATGGCCTTTGATTATATGCGTTCCAAATATATGTAAGCATAATTCACAACCTTTAATCATATATTATAATTTTGCATAGCATCATGCTAGCCTATTCATATAAGAGACAAAGAAACAAGAAGGGAAACTTCTCTGTGATTTCTCAATCATTCAAAAATGAAAATCCAAACAGAACACCAATCTCATAACTGGGACCCGAGTCGAGGATACTAAAATTTTGTTGGTATGGGAAGTGGGGTTTGGGGGCATCAATTTGGGAGGCAAAGAAGCATGTTGGTAGGACCCCTCATGTAGCCATCCTAGTAAGCAGCACCCAAGAGAGTGCATACCCCATACCAGGTTGCTTCGCATTGTTATGCAGGTGTTTTCTATGTTCCCCTCATGCATGTGCTGCCCTTCCCTTCCTCATGTGATTCCCACCTGACTCCCATACCCACGTAATCAAATTTGTCATCATATCATTCAAATAAATGAAGAAAATGACTACCAATTGGTAAGTAGAACTGCTCTGAGGATTCTCCAGTCACTAAACTTGATGAAATCGGTTTCTCGGATCCCCGACCGCCGCCCATAACCGAAAAAATAATTTAAAATTAAATCATTTAGTCTAAAAAACCGTTGACAATGAGTTTAGATATGTACAAATCAGTACATATCTAAGTATGACAAGGTATAATTAAGCAGGCAGAGGCAGTCTGATAAACATACTCCTGTCAATATATATATATGTCATCCATGTGCCTCGATACTATATAAGTTTGATTAATTAAGCTCAGACTTTGAATTTCCAGATATGCATACGTATTAAACAAGACCTTATGGGATCGACCGAAATTCCCACCGTCCTCTAAATCATCTGAATTGCTAATAATGAGAAGTACCGAAGTAATATGCACACGTAAGGATCATGGACCGTTGTGACCGGTATAGCCGCGTATCATGGAAAATTTTAATTTTAAAGGATCCTTAATGGTAAAGTAGAGTTTCTTAATAATTAATGTCTATATATGTAATTGGAAGTACAGATTCCATAATGCAAACCATGTACTATAGTTTTATATGTACTGACTTTTGTTTTGGGGTGGCAAGAGGGGGTGACAATAGCACATGAGGTTGAGTTATTGAATTCAATCCACAAACAAAGAGTTATAAATAATCTTTCTTAGGTAATTTTAGTGAAAATGATATAATTATAATGTCACGTAATATTACAAAAGTTTAATATGATATGTTGTCATATACTTAATTTTTTATTTAAATGTTTACTTATAATATTATATATATTTAATATTATATTAAAATTGTAAGTTTACAATTTTATTTGACATTATAATTATAACATTATTGTTTCCATACGAAAAAAAATCACAATTATATACCATATAGTCCACAGGACTACCAATAAAATAATGGGGCATTCTACAGGTTCACACAACTACCCTTAACGGCCTCTCCGGCATTATCATATATACGGAATTTTTTGAGAGATATACCATGCTAAATTATTAATTAAATTATTTGGATTAAAAATTATAGAGGATCAGGTATCTAGATTCACACTTTGGAAACCCATGACCATATTTTAATGGAAAATGATTTGTACACCATCGGTTCAACATATTTTTTAACATGTTTTTTGTTCAATTATTAAAAATATAATATAAATACAGTCAATTTAGTTAGTTTCTCCATCATATGTGTATATGATTGTATTTTTAAATTTGTTTATTTTTAATTTTAAACTAAAAAATAATAATTTTTTAATTAAT